GTGTTGAAAGACAAATAAACAGCTCAATCATCCATCAGGCCTGACTGCCAAGCTGATTACAGCCAGTTTTCACAAAGCCTGGTTAAACAGAGAATTGGTCCTGTTCACCTAAGCCACCTCAGTGGGCCAGGTACTGTAGGTGTCACATACCCCCACCTGGGTGGGCACCTGTGTGGATCAGCACATTGGTGACTTTTTGTAGAACCATCAAGGAGATCACAAAACTTGTGTGGCTATAGTAAGCTAAGGAATGGAAATACCTGAGTTTCAGAGAAGTCAGGTCTCAGGAAAGACAAAAGCACTTCAACTGTGAAAAATACCTATGTAACACTGCAAACTTCCACATCTTGTTCCTCTTCTTTGGCAAAAAGGGGAATCTTGCTTTTTAACTTTCCTTTTCTGGTTCTTTGAGCTAAAGCGCAAAGAACTGGTTGAATTTCTGGTACCGTGACTACTCTCTTGCCAGTACCTCTTTGATGTGTGTCTTGTGCCAAAGAATATTAATTACTGTAGGCTGCAATAAAGTCCATCCCTACCCCCAGCTTGAGCCTCCGAAATGAACAGAAGTTGAACTTTGCCAGCAACTGTTAGGAAAAGGGCCAAGAACAGCCTAACAGGAAAGATACTCAGGATTTTTTGTTTTTCTTCTGCTAAACCACGGTTTTGTAATTATGAATACTTTGTTGAAATTGTGTGGAAAAGGAAGTACACAGAAAATGGTCCATACAATTAAACTAACTACATATTACTGTCGAAAGAATATAAGGCTGGTCTCACTCTGTTGCACTCACACAGACAAAACCCCTTCTCAGAAGGAATTTGGCTTGAGAAGACTGATTGGGAGACAAACCTTAGTTAACTTCAGGCCCGTGTGCCTTATTGTTTGGTTTACGACTGCCCCAAATGGTGTAAAAGCAAAGGACATTCACAGTGAACAAAAGCATTGGCTGAAAGAAAGAGAAAAGAGGAATTTGAAAGCTGTCATTTCCAAATCCCTTCTACTCAAAAGTTATTTCTTGAGTTGGGACCAGGAACCCTGAATAAGGCAGCATTAGTTCATGCTCCTAAAATCTATCTTCTACTAGATTGAAAAGAAACAGAATTACTTTATTTTGCTCAGATTCACTTAATGTTGCTTCAATCAGTCCCCATTTGTCCCTGCCACTTCTCTCCAGGCTTAGGTTTGTAAAATCCCAAATTGCTAAATTGAGATCACTTGCCAGAGCAGCTTTCTCTTACTTTCCAGGATGGATGATTACAGGGTATCCAGAAAAGTTTATCAAGTGTGAGAAATTACAACTATGTCCCCTAAGTAGATAAATAAATAATGTAAAGGAGTAAGGAGTAAGTTGCTGTAGGGCAACTTCAAACTTCTGTACTTCATACAGTGTTTTATAATTTCAATTTAAATGGTTTTCTCTAGTCAGCAGCCTGCTCCTGACTCCCATCACACTAAGGCATATGTAGTATAAAAGGCATATGTCAACCTAGAGTGAGAAAGCTTGATATTTGGCTTATACAACATTTTACAATTCAACCTCAAGAAATTCTTGGTTTTAGTTAAAGGTAAATTAAACTTATCCTTGAATGATACAGTGACCTAAGCTTTTAGAAGCATATATGCAATATTTATGTCTTGTCAAGCACTTTCACTTTCCATAGTAACAAACCCCCTCCTCCATACATAAAAAGGATTTGATGCATAAACAATATTGCTGAAAACATGTCCAAAAATAATAAAGTAGACTTTGCTTTAAAAATTCAGTTTTTAAGGCTGATTCTGACCTTGAACAGTCCCTTATATAAGCAAGTGTATGCAGCCATTTGGCCAAGATCAAAATAAAGCCTCCCATCTCCTCAACACACGGTACCACAAAGCACATTATAGTGGGAAACTGCTAAAGTATGTGTGACTATTTTTACCGGCCCTGCGTGTAATCGTGTAGAAGCCTGCGACAGCAACTAACTACTGCCATCTTAAGGCAGCCCTTAGTACTGTTGCAGGTGAAGTCGAGCTAGCTGTTCCTGCCGCTGTGCACTGCTCTTGTACACCCTGCCACTTGCAAGCTCTTGAACGAGGTGGTTACAAGTGCTTGCTCCGAGGTTATTGCAATCCTGCAGTACAGCTCTCTTTCGAAAGATAACACAGAACATGTTTAAAATTAAGGAAAGGATTGCAAGATAAACATTTTCCCTCTCCTTCCTTTCTCTTACACAAAATTGTAATAAAGACATCTAACCCCTGGCCAAGTAGGTCTGCCCAATCCAGACCTCTGCTTCTAGCAACCCGAAGTGCTATTGTCATGTTTGCTTTGCCCAGCTGTGTACCTCTACAGCCTACCCGCCTAGACAGTTCTGTAACCAAGTAAGGCTCAAAGTGTTTCATAAACTACTCATTCACGTTGTAGATATGGTGCAAGATGAGTATTGAGCTGATTTACACATAGGAAGTACAGGCACAGAACTAAGAAGAGCTGCAGTCAGGGGATTCCTACCTTCCAGGCCGAGGATGACAATCTCACAGAGCTAAGGAACATGGTGTCTTTTATCTGTAAGACACATCTGAAATTTTGGGATATTTTAATACTAACAAGCAAGTAGCTTCTAGCTGAGCAGCCTGTGACTACTTCCGTGGTCACACATATTCTGTCATTCCTGCAATTCCTCTTTCTGAGCAGGAGCAGTGATGACATCAGGGCAGGGTACAGAGGAAGTTAGAAATGTGGAAGACAAGCCTTCCCACATCATTGGTTCCAAACCCACCCACAGAGGGAGTGAATGCAGTGCTACATTCTTCTGTGAAAGAAATTTGGTATTTTCAGTCCAATGGACCTGGGGAAAGGCTTCCTGTCCCTAATGCGTTTTTCAGCCACAGGTACTTCGCAGGGAAAACTGAAAAGGAGACGAAATGGCCATCTCAGATCTGCACAAGTGCACCAACATGATAGCGCTGACACACAGTGGCAGGAAAACAGGCATCTGCTGTTGTACCTCTTGTGAGATTGCAAATGAGATCTGAACACTCTAATCACAGTTTCTCCTGAAAGAACTTACAGAGATAAGCCTAGACAACTCACATTAAAACCAGTAATTCCTAAAATCTGTTGATATGCTTTTCTTTTGGATGTAAAATTTACCCTTAAATACAAAAGCATCCAAATTCATCAAAACTTTTCAACTGAATCACTGCAACTCTCCTACACATTTGGCATCCTGCAAGAACATTAAATTAATTAATGTAAAAATTAAAACAGTTCCCCTTGTTTGTTGCCCTATCCTTTTACTGTTTTACCTTTAAATATTGCAACCAGACCTGTCCCAAAGGCAGGTATGTCAACTTGTTACCCTCAGCTGCTTTTCGTTGCAACAGAAATGCTATTTAGTTTCACTAAACTTCACCAACCTTGCATAAAGCTCTAACAATCTATTGTGAAACACTTGGGCAATTCAACACAAATCTGGCATCAAAGACAGTCAACCTCAAGGTGCTTTAATTTACTTTTACAGAAGTAACAGAGCATGTATTTAATTTGGTATTACTGATTTGTACTTTAAATAGGCATAAGCTTTCTGTTCTTAGAATTATTGCATCATATGCTTTCTCAGTATAGACAGCATATAGTTACACAGTCATTTATACAATCAACCTAATCCGACTTTTGCAAAAAAACATTAAACATCTTCTTAAGTTACCTGAACATGTCTAGAAGTTCTGACTTGTGTCACCAAGTCACTTCAGCCCCAGTGTTCTCAGACTAAGATGCTATGTGCCTCTCCCATTGCCCAGTTCCCCACGGATGAGCAGCAATTCCCTTCTTACTCTGTCCAACACTGGCACCCAGTGGTCAAGTGCTCTCACAAACACTTTGGGAATCGGCAGTTGTTCAATTCCCACTCAGTGGATTTCTTGAACACAGCTAGTCTGTTTAAATGCACTAGCTGTTCAATTATTGAGGTTCAAAATACTACCCATTATCTAAATGGTTTAGAAAGCCTGAGACTACCATTGCTAGTGAAGACTAGCCAGAGCTAGGAATAATGCACAGCACCCAAAATGCTGCACTGAAGGCAGCCAGTCACACCCTAACAGGAGACGAGGTTAACACCCTAACAGGAGACGAGGTTACCATAGGGTCAAGCACATCAGCAAAATTATTCTTTTAAAGAACAAGTATGCCACCTCAAGCAATGAGATATTTTATATGTCCTTTTTTAAATAGCTACAGACTGTGAAAGGACTCCTAGGCAAGAGAAAACTATTTTGCCCTTGGTGATGCAGTTTTTTTTTTCTAAAGGTCCTAGTACTCAAGACAATTTCCAGAAGTGCAATACAGCACATCAAACAAACTACACTTAATGCAATTTCCCAAGAATCAAAAGCAGTACTAGGGCTAACAAAGCTCCCAAACATTAAAAAGCATTCAGGAATCTCCATACTACGTCATTTTCCATCAGTAGCCAGAAAACAATGATGCTTCAAATTTGAGGCATTAACCAAACAGAAACATGTAGAAGTGAGCACGGATGCAGAGTCCAGGACTAAACTCTGAAAAATTCCGTTTAACATTTTTCCCTCTTACACAGTGAAATTGGTTGCAGGTGACCCATGCAGTCTCTCTAAATAAGTACACGGAAGTCAAATGTCAGGATAGCACATCAGAGAGAGAAAGGAGAAGACAGGAAAAGCAAGCTATGAAGTGCAGAGAAGGCAGCACGAACAAAACACATGCTTTTGTCGCTAAACCAAGGCTGAATGGAAAGCATTACCAGCAGAATAGTCTGTGAACCTAAATTTTATTAGGTTTAAACTCTCCCAATTTGCAGCATAAGAGATTGTGAGAAGGGGGGTTAAACTCTCATTGGACTTGGAATGATCAACAGATTAAGATGAGACAAACAAAACTGACTTGTAACTTTTAGCTGCTTCCTTACCAGGAACTGCTCTGGTTTCTAAAAAACACCACCACTTCTAACAAAGAAAATACTCAGCATTACAGTAGTTGAACTTCTTGAAAAAATTTAATAAGACCAATGTCTTCATAACACAGGTAAATTGTACATTATAGAATACTTGTTTATAAGGGAACTGAATTAGTCTTTTCGCAATTGGATACTTTGCTCTTTAATTCCATCTTTTGTGACAATGCAAATCTTAAGTGCATCCCCAGTGTACACATCTCTCTCAGCAGCAGAAATAAAGACATCCTTAACCAGTTGCAAAGCCTTTTCCAGGGTCAGAGGTACATGTTCCACATTTTGCATGTTCTTGAAGCCAATCTAAGAAAAGATGAAAATGCATTTTAAAGGAAGTATGATCCATCTAGCATGAAAGCTGTTTCAGTCTCTGCACTAGAATTAACAGATTTAGACACATTAAAAAGAAGAAAAGGCTTGTCTGTTTTAAAAACCCAAAGCTGACAAAAGCGTTCCTCCACACAGTTTACAGTTGAAAACTTTGCCAATGCTGATACTCTTAATACAGTAACAAGAAGCAGATCCAGTATACAGCTAGCACAGCTGCTCGTGCTCATTCAGCATATACAAGATCACAAAGAACATTCAGATCTGAACTGATCTAATCCTTCAAAAACTTTTCACCGGGTTAGCAGCATCATAACTGCACACAAGCCTTTTCTCTCTAGTCACTTGTAGTACGGAACATTTCTTTAAAGCAAATACTCCTCAGCGTACCTAGAACTCAAAAATAAGTCTATACTGGAGCAAATCTGATCATACTAAATAGTGCATTTTACCTGATAAATCTAAATGTCAACTTAAGCATCAGAACAGGTAAATGAGGAGAGTAGTGCACTTTGCCTGAAACTCATAAGCAATAAAAAACTACTTATGAAAACTTTTGTTTGTGCAGAAGATATTTTATTTCCTTCAGTTAATAAAGTTCAAAACTAAGTCAAAGCTGAAAACATGCTGTTATTTAAATTTTAAAAAAAGGAAAGATTCTATTCCTTTCTCAGCTGATAAGAGTCAAGAGTGCTTATTCCTTTATTACTTTTTTAAGCACAAAATTTGTGTTGATATCAGGCTCAATTGACTAAATACCAACACCCATGTCAGTGAATAAATTAAGTAAAACATGCTTTGGTATTTCTCCCATTCAACCACTAACAGCATCAACTAAATATGAAAATATTCTTAGAGTATTTTTAGACGGAGTCAATTGAATAATTTTCCATTAATTTTATGTAAGAACATTCTTAGAAAATGGTATCCGAGTTGTACAAAACTGAAGACTTAAAGAAGTGTATATTAAGTGATAAAATGTATGTACTAATTATACCTTATTTTGGTATTATTTCATGCTAAGTAACAGGCACATTTATGTTATCAGCTAAGAAAAAACCCTAAAAAACAAAACCCAGAAAAAAAACCCTAAACAACTTCTATGAGAAACCTAACTCCCTAATTAAAATATGCATCTGTCTTTTAGATAGGGGCTGCACTGTTAGTTACATATTAAAAACCTGAACAGATCCCAAAGCAAAACTTTGATCTCTCCTGAGAAAGTAATGCCACATAATTCATAAATGTATGGATTAACAGGTCATACCTGTAATAGATTTACAACGTCTCTCAAAAGCAGTACTTCTCAGAAGTAAAGCTACATTTGAATGTCATAAATGTTTACTGAGATAACGAAAGGAAAAAACCAAAACCCGATAAACTATTTTACCTGGTTATCCAGCAAAGGTTGCAGCATGGCACTTGCTGATCCACCTGCTTTGAAAGAATCCCTCTGGTATGAGCCCACTGGATCAAAGCTATATACTGCTCCCTTTCCTGGAAATCAAACAAAAAAATTAGCATCTAGTAACAATTCAGAAAGATTCTCAACACTGATAAGCATATACAACAAGAACTAGCACTCTCAGTAAGCAGTGTCAGGAACACCACAGATCCCAGAAAACCTTTACAAAACAATACTTACTGCAGTATGTTCAGACAATGCTTTGTACAGTAGGCTCACTATGGTTGTGGCCTGGTATGATTTCCAAGATTATTTTCTCTATTTAAGCTACAACCATGCTCCAACAGACATTTTCTACAGTACTTACCACAGAAAAAGTATTGATGTGCAATCAAAGCAGAAAAATATGCCAGAGCATAGTACTGCAGAAGGAACCCTGGAGGTTCTAAGGCTAACAACAAGAAGCAGTTTAGACATCATTCTTAGCACTACAGTTCTTGAATTACCTCCAGAAAGCATACTTTTATTCCTCTGCATTGCACTCCCAGAACCAGGAATGATGCTCTGGTCTCTTAGACACTTCCCTCTGGAGCCAGGCCAGGTTGTGCAAAGTTGACTGGCTTGCACTAACATCAGAGATGCAGACACACTGCAGCTCTGAAGCATCGGGGTTTGATGAGGACATGCCAGTCAAAAGGCAGGACCTGGCCAAGCCCTGCCTTTCTGTTCAGACAGGCTGCATCAGATCCAATGAACTGGCCAGTGCACTTGGCAGCACGGCACAGGAGCTGAAGAGCCCTAAGAAAGCTAGCCAAACCAAAAATCAATCTTACTGGACCCAAGCTAAGTCCATGCATGCAAACCTACACTCTGAGCAAGTGTTACAGCACCCTCATAATCTGAAATTTACCATTATGCAAGGGAGACTAATCCCTTTCCAGACTCCACATACCGCAGACATGTCTTAGCAAGACTGGGAAAGCAATATAACTTAATGGTAACAACAAACTGCAGGGAATGGCTGAAATTATCCAAACAAGACCACCTCGGAGCTCCTTCTCAAAGCCAGAGAACACAGTATTTCATCAACTCAACCAAATCACTGGACAAGAGCCCAGTAAGTCCTGGAAGGGCTGTACATTAAACTACAGCTTCCGTGTAGAAATCATGATTTTCATCAGACGTCAGTTAACAGTTAAAAATAACTTTGTAGAAACCTGTCTCTGGAGTAAATCTTCATATATAATAATCTCTACCACACTCACAGGTCTGGGTAAAATATACACAATTTTACTGGTAACATCTCCTTTAAAGGTGCAATTAAGAAATCCAGCAAAGCTGTTAAAAAGTTTTCCAGTCTAAAATACGACAGATTTCACTTCTGGAGATTTTATTTGTAATCAAATATTTATAACAGTTTTTAGACTTTCACACCTTCAGAAACGGAAGATCAAATTAGCAGCAAAAACTAGGAAACAAGTCAGATGTATAATATGTATTTGATCTGTGTAAGTATCATAACGCCTAAAGGTAGGTGTTATGAATAGGAACACAAACTTTGTTATTCCATCAATACACCTGAGATGTAAAGGGATAGCTTTCCACTCACAGAAATTCAGCCTCTCCTTTTTAGCTTTTTTGGTGTAAATTCTTACCTTCTTCATCAAGTCCACCAATTATGTTATAAACATAGTACGGAAAGAAGCGTCGAGAATACAGGATTGTAGACAGCATTGCTGCAATAGCCCCAGTAGTCATGGTCTTGTTATTGGAATGCTTGTACATCTGCCAGTGGTAGAGCACATCCAAGAAGAAAGTCAAACACTAAATCTGACATTCAATCAAAATTACATTTTCTGTAACCTCATTACAGAAGAATCTGATGTTAAGCAAGATTTTTAACTAGCATGATTACTGACAACACACTTGTCTAAAAGTTAAAGCCTTCTTACAAGCCAAAAATTAAATGTCTTTAAAGTTTTACAATTAATAGATGTTACCTCATTAACACTCTCCTCTCCAGCTTCTCCATTCTTTAAGTTTGTGATGTCACACTTAGTAAGAACACAGCATCAACTTCTCCTTCCTGATCTATCACTAGCCATACAGTTAAGATACAGACATTTGAAGAACAGCAAAAACTGTATTTAAAACACATAATATTACGATTCAAGCATAATATTAAGAACGTAAGTTTCTAAATACAAGAATACAGGTAGTTACCTTTAATCTTGCTTCAATAATTTTAGTAAGGGTAAGGCAATCACCATGGAAACCAGTGCATCCAATGACCGTTTGTTCTGTTCTGAAAAACGTAACATTTTGTTGCAATTTTAGATTTAGTATGAACTAGAGCATTTTCTTACACAGTAGGTTATTTTGAGAACACCAAAATGTATTTTCAGTTCTTCTACTGTTATCAAAAACAGTTGTCTAAAATGTAGTAACAGATCTGTGGTGTATGAAAGGTAACTGCAACCTACATCTTGGAGATGACTCATCAAGCACAGGACCATGCAAAGCCTGTCTTCAAACCATCTTTCTTCAACTGTCAGTAAGACCAATAAGAAGAAATTCTTAATTTCTGCATGCACTCCTCACTCTATCTAGAACAATTTGGTCTTGCTAAAGGATGTGTTTTACACTGGGGAGACAAAGATCCTATCACTCGGTCCAAATTTTACTCCATCAGACCTGAGGGCTGCATTAAGCTTGTACAATGGTTACAGGACATTTATGGTATCAGTGCAAGAGAAGTTATCTGGCTGTAGATGCATTACAAAAGCTTAGCTCTCTGCTCAGTTTCAAAATGCTTCATGAACTAGCCACAGCAACACACCCTTGAAATTTAAATTCTAGTAAAGAGGAGTCTACAAACATTAACACATACAGACTAACACAAAGCAGTCCTTCAGAAAACACCTCAAAATGCAATCTTCTCTCAGCCTGTCACCAGAATTGCACAAAGCCATCGTGTGCAATATGCAATTTCCATTTGGGCAGTATCAGAGAGTCAAAGATATAGTAAGGAGTTAGCCAGGAGAAATGTAAGTTCCTTTGATCCTGTGTCAACAATTTAGAAAAGAAAAAAACACAAAGAAAAAAGGAATCAAAAAATGATGGCAGCCTACTAAGTAAATACCTGCTGCAGTCGAATGAATGTAAACAATAGGTACTTTTAGACTAAGGAGATGTTATCTAGGTGAGTCAAGAAAAACATAAAATGAGCATAAAAAGTTCAATAACGGAACTACTGACAGGTTTACCTTTCCTAAAACAAATACTTCTCCAAAGTGCCGGGTGTTTAACTAGAGAGAAACTGTACAACTGACTGCAGGGGGCACACCTGCGTACTAACACTAGGTGCCCTGATGAAGCAGAATGAGTTACCACAGGATTAAGTTTGGCTACATTAAACACCAAAGTTCTTCTGATTATCCAGCCAAAAAAACCCACCACCTAGCTTACATTAAGCCTTGTATCATCCTAAAATAGTTCTGTTATCAGCTAACTGCAAGAGCATGCTATCTTTACAACATCACATCACATCTTGAATTACAGCAATGTTCGACATGATTCCAAAATCTACTTTGTTACTGTGCTTTTTGTGTAAGAATTCTACTTAAAGCAGGAGGTAGGTGACATGGTCAGCAATACAAAACATCTTTCATCTGTTTCAATTTTTGCAAGATCTGGACTTACAGCTTGTAGCATTTTGGGCTGTCCCGGCAGTGAATTGAATAGCCTTCACTGAGCCGCGTGTCAGAGGCAACAATAGAAAAGTCTTCCCCAGCAATCGCCAGCACAGTCCTTAATGAAGAGTATTGATATAATCATGAGTTTCAGCACAAATATTTTCTTAGGCAACACAGAAACAGACTAGATAGGAATTCTATATCCAGACTCACATTTTGTCAAGCACGTTATATTCCTTGCTATGTTCCCCTCTATGCACATCCCTACATGTAACCCAAGACCAACATAAGAAGGTAACAGACTCAGTGAGGGAAATATATGTACGTGACCCTCTACTTCGACTAAAAATCGTATGGAAACTTGGTAAAACAGAGTCCCTACACCAGGCAAGAAACAGACTCAATAGACTAAGTCTTTTAGATGCCTGATAATGATTCACCCTTCTGAAACAAGCAAAGTACTAAGTAACAGTATGAGGACACTTAAATTATCACCGCTTTTTAAATCTGATGTTATCTTATTGACTTCCAAACAACTAGCCTTGTGATTCCCACAGGTGTACTACCATTAAGTAACAGATGCCCTTTAAAAAGTAGTTAGGCACTATAAGAAAAAAAACAAATAACACTATCCTCGCCAGATCCTGCCACCACCTCAGACGTGTAAAACATCACCTGCCTTAAACAGGTACAGCAAGGCAGCGTTCAACACAGTTACATGTTTACTAGCTACAGGACGAGGAGCAAGGGCCATAAATTAAAACACAAGAAGTTCCACCCCAGCATGAAGAACTTGTTTACACTGAGGGTGGCAGAGCACTGGAACCGGCTGCCCAAGTACGCTGTGGAGTCTCCCTGCCTGGAAACATCCAAAACCCACCTGGATGGGTGGGTTCCTCTGTCATCTGCTCTAGGTGATCCTGCCTTGGCAGGAGGTTGGACCGAATGATCTCCAGAAGTCCCTTCTAACTCTAGCAATTCTATGACTCTGGAATATGACCAATTCCTACGTTTCCTGAGGCACGGAAAAACGTTCCCCGGGGAACAAAAGGTGCTTATTTAACGAGCAGTAACTGTTTAGGGAGCCCGAGTGTGCCGAAAGCCACGCACGAACAACCTGAAGGGCTGCACGGACCCAGGGCGAGGCCGAGCCCTGCTACCCCTCGTGCTGCCCTTCTTTCTCTGCAAGGAGGAGCTCCTGAGGGGAGACAAACCCGCGCTGAGCACCGGGGGGAAGCAGGAGTTAAGGCGCGGCAGCCCCAGCCCCAGCCCCACCGCCGCCCTCCCCCGGACGCCTCGTCCACCGCCCGCTCGCTTGCCGCGGCTGCTCACCCTCCGTTGAAGGTGTAGGGCGAGAAGCGGTAATGCTGCACGGGCCCATCCAGCTCATAGCCCATCTCAGGCCGGGAGGGCCCGTATCCCGCTGCGGACAACATCGCCATCGGTGCTGTCTCACGGCGAAATGGCGGCACCGGAGGCGGAAGCGGAGCCGCTCTGGACGGCAGCACCGCCTCCTCTCGGCTGCTCTGCCGGGCGGCGAGCGCCGTGCCCCGGCGGGGGGGCCTGCGGGACCTCGCCCGTGCCCCGCTGTCACCCGCCCCGTCCTTCCGCCGCCCCCGCCAGCAGCTCGGTGTGCGCCTGGGCCCTCCTGGCACCACAGGCACCGGTTCTTGCCCTGTCCAAGCGCTGCCAGCCCCTGACATCTGCGTGCCCGCTCTTGGAAACGCGCAGGTTAATAAGCAGCTGTGGTGGAGTTATCAAAGAGCATCTAGTATTTGGGTAGGTGGGGACCAGGGTGGCTCTGGCTCTGTAAGAGGGAGCACCTTGAGAACTGCTGTGAAGACCAAGGGTCGGGAATCACAGAGTGTCTTGGGTCGGGAATCACAGAGTGTCTTGGGTTGGAAGGGACCTTAAAGATCATGTAGTCCCAACCCTGCTGCCATGGACAGGGACATCTTTCGCTAGACCAGGTTGCTCAGAGCTCCATCCAGTCTGGCCTTGAACACTGCCAGGGATGGGACATCCACAACTTCTCTGGACAATGTGTGCCAGTGCCTCACCATCCTCACAGCGAAGAACGTCGTCCTAATAGCTAATCTAAACTGATTCTCTCAGTTTAAAGCCCTTCCTCCTTGTCCTGTCACTACATGCTCTTGTAAAAAGTCCCAGTCTTTATTGTAGGCTCACTTCAGGTACTGGAAGGCTGCAATTAGGTCACCCCAAAGCTTCCTCTTGTCCAGGTTGAACAATCCAAACTATCTCACCTTTTTCTTGTACAAAAGGTGCTTCATCCCTCTAAGCATCTTGGTGGCCTTCCTCTGGACTCACTCCAACAGGTCCAGGTCTTTCTTGTGCTGAGGACCTCAGAGCTGGACACAGTACTCCAGATGGGGTCTCACCAGTCCTTGAGGTGGGCCATGAGCTGCGGTGCCAGGTGCCATGGCATGAGTGGAAACAAGAGAAGAGCTGGGGTAGAAGCTTGAAGTGGTGCTAGGGGAGAAGGCCAGGGGGACAGGGAGATGCAGGGGACACATGGTGTTCTGGAGGAGAAGCGTGTCACTCTGCTTGGGAAGCACAGCTGCAGTGGCTGCAGCCTCCATGGGTGCTGCACACGACAGCAGCAAGAGCCACCAGTGCAGCACTGCAGTGTGTAAGTCTGTACAGCTATAATGTGGGGAACAACTTCCAGCACAGCCCCTGCAACCAGGTCTCGTGCACTGCAGGATCAGTCAGGCTGGAAGGGACCACAGTGGGCCACCTCCCTGCTCAAGCAAGATCATCCAAGAGCACATGGTACAGGACTGTCTCCAGATGGTTCTTGAATATCTCCAATGAGGGAGACTCCACAACCTCTCTGGTCAATTTATTCTAGTGCACAGTCACCCACACAGTACAGAAAGTTCTTCACATTCAGGTGGAGCTTCCTGTCCATCAGTTTCTGCCCATTGCCTCATCCTGTGACTTGGCATCACCGAGAAGAGCCTGGCTCCATCTTCTTGACACCCACCCTTTAGATATTTATACACAGTCACCTCTTTTCTAGGCTGGACAGGTCCAGCTCCCTCAGCCATTCCTCATAAGAGAGATACTCCAGCGCCTTAATCCCTGGACCTGCTCCAGGAGCTCCATGTTTCTCTTGTAGTCAGGAGCCCAGAACTGGAAACAGTACTCCAGATGTGGAGTAGAGGGGTAGGATAACCTCCCTCGATCTGCTGGAAATGCTCTTCCTAATGCACCCAGGACACCATTGGCCTTCTTGGACAAAAGACCACACTGCTGGCTCACGGACAGCTCCTTGTCCACCAGGACCCCCCAGGTCCTTCTCCGCAGAGCTACTTTCCAGCAGGTCGGCCTCGAGCCTGTACTGGTGCATGGGGTTATCCCTCCCCAGGTGCAGGACCCCGCATTTGCCCTTGTTGAAATTCCGAAGGTTCTTCCCAGCGAAGGTTCCTCTCCCGGCGGCGGCGGGAAGTGACGCGCTGGGCGCGCCGGCGGGGCGGGGGCGGGTCGGACCGTGGTCCGGCGGGCGCTGAGCGCGGCGGGAGAGCGGAGCGGGGCCTGCAGAGCAGGGTTTTTCTTTTTCTTACCGAGCCCCGCCGGGCGACCGCGCCGCCCACGCCCGCTGCCCGCGGAGGGGCGGTGGCTGCCGGCGGGGGCTGCGATTGGGTGCGGGGCCGGGCCGGCGCCAGGCGCCGGGCCTGGAGCGGCCTGGGGGACGGTGCGCGGAGCCGGCTCGCACCGCGCCTCCGCGGCGGCCTGAAGCCGCGGCGGGGGAAAGTGGCGGAAGGGACTCCTCTTTCCCAGCCGCCCTTTGCTGCTGCCCCGCCGCGGGGCTCCGGCGTGGCTTCAGGGTGCGAGCGGCGACCGCTGGCGGCCGGGGGCGGCTGGGCGCGGGCAGCGGCGGGACCCTGCGCGGCGCCGGGGCCGGTGCTGGATATGGGGAGCGGGAGGGGTTGGAGGCACCGGGAAGCGCAGTGGCCACCGGGAAGTGGCTGGGGAAGGAGCCCGAACGGGGTGGGTCGGGGCCTCTTCCGTGGTGTCTCCTGCTTTTGGACTCTGTTCCCTCGGCCAAAACGTTTCCCAGCGTTTGTAGTGACGATCCAGGCAAGCCTCGTTAGGTGGTTACAAGATGGGCCTCTGCGTAGCCGGTGTCCTCGCCGCAGGCTCTGGCATGCCCGGTAACCTGGCGTCTTACCAAACAGCTGGGCTGTCGAGGAGTTGGCTTTATTTCTTCCAGGATAATGTCTAGGCTTCTAATGTACTCCTATCTCCAGGTCATAAAACCTGGATGCTCTGCTTGATACCTTCGGTGAGGGTAAAGATCATAATATCTTATGGTCACGGGGGAAAAAAAAAGCAGACCTTTTTAGCTGCAGTGTAAATATTGTAATTCTAAGCTCTCATATCTTAAAAAAAAAAAAAGGCTGAATAAGCTTTCTTCAGAATTTGAGGTGGCCAACCTCCGGCCCAAAAATGACCTTGAGTATTTCTAGCCGATAGTTAAGAAACTTACAAATTAATGGGAAAATATTTTATACCGTTGATAGCATAAAATTTAAATTCTTCACTTATCTTGTTTATTTCTGTAAGACAGCAACAGAGGTGTAGTTGAAAAAATCAAATCATATGGATGTTTCACTTGTACATCTGAAATAAGTTTTCACATATTTATTTTTTTTTCTGATAAAGCACATGTCACTGTTGTTTGAAGTCTACTGGAAGTGGATAAGAGGTTTTCCTAGTTCTGATTTGACCAGTGATGCTTTTCTCATAGAAGAAAAAAATAAATTCTGAAAGCCCAAGCCTTAAAATTGTCAGGAAGAGACTTACAAGCAATGTGTCAGTAAGCTTTTTGGTTAGTAGTCAAGGGAATTAAATTCTAAAAAAATCTGTGCTTTTCTAGCTAAAGCAAACCTTAGAGTAGAATGAGCATTAATAGCTTGAATTGTTTGTGCAGGGAGGTTTGGTTAGACAGAAGCCTGCCCATGTGGGTCAGGTAACCTGCGAGGAACTTCAGCAGAATCACGCTGCAAAGTTTCTATGGAGTGTGCCTGAAAAAGGTTATTTTTATGGACTGTACATGTGTGCGTGCATATGCGTGAATTTTCTTATATATATTTATACGTGGGTGTGTGTCTTTTATCTGAGTCAGCAGCTCATAGGTTTGCTTTTCATTTTATTCTTAGATATTATTCTCAAGATATTACTCTTTTTCTTTTCAGATTTTTCTTGGTGTTTTAGACTCATAACATATTTCTCTGGAGCTGATGTTTTCCTAGCACCTTTCAGCTTGGCTTTAAAAGCTACTTTGCTGGAATGTTTTAAACGGTTAAAAATCCTCTAGGATTTGAAGTTTATTTAAATTAATTGAAGGAAATACTTCTGGCCTCACCAAAGAAATAACTGGAATCATGGATCAGAACAACAGTTTGCCACCCTACGCTCAAGGCTTAGCCTCCCCTCAGGTAAAAGCAAATGATCTAAAATGCAACTATTATCTGATTTTTATTTTTTTTTTGTGAAAGCGTTTTCCATTTCTTGCATGTAACTTCAGGTTTTTTTGTTTGCAGATGTGAAAAATTCTGCTAGGTATCAAATAATACTAGTATAAAGCAGAATTGTAAAACCATCAATGTAGATATCCAGAGGTATAAGAAACATGCAGATACATGGGGTTCCTCTAAGTAGAAACATGACTGATAAGTTGGAAAGATTAATTTAATTTTGGTGGTTGCCCTTTAAACTACGTGCATAATAGATTGTTGCTGGGCTAAGAATGTGTTCGGTGAAATGGGCACAGTCTGTGTTCAAACAATTGCAAATTAAATTGTGAGTCAAAGTTGAGACATGCTTGCAAGGTAGTGTGAGAAACGTGTCAGATCCCTAGGGGTAGTGTTTTATTCTGTAAAACGTTTATGCTTTATTCTGTAAAGCATTTCCAAGGACTTTCTGTTTTTAACAAGTTACTACTGTGTGCTCCAGGTTTGAGATCATCAACTCAATTTACATAGATTTTTAGACCCTCCCTGAAAACTTTGTCTCTTAAAAACAAAAGGGAATCAACATGATCTGTGGTTTCTCTTTCATGTTTGCTTCTCTAGGGTGCAATGACTCCAGGAATTCCCATTTTTAGCCCAATGATGCCATATGGCACAGGACTGACACCACAGCCTGTCCAGAGCACCAACAGTCTGTCTATATTAGAGGAACAGCAGCGGCAGCAGCAGCAGCAACAAGCAGCGCAACAATCTACGTCACAGCAAGCGACACAGGGAACATCTGGTCAAACTCCCCAGCTCTTCCATTCACAGACTCTTACCACAGCCCCTTTACCAGGAACCACACCTCTGTACCCCTCTCCAATGACTCCGATGACACCAATAACTCCTGCAACACCAGCGTCAGAGAGTTCTGGGATAGTGCCACAACTACAGTGAGTGCCCCATGTGTTAGTGCATTGTGTCCTTTCTCAGATAGCCTTTTAAAGACTTAG